TAAAAGGCAAAATTCATAAAAACATGATATTTTTTTGGATATGTTAACATGCAGTACACAGTGATCCAACAAGATGCAAAATGGTAATTCTGACTCTGCTGCAGAGATCATTTCTTTTACAGGCCATGGCTTTTGACTCACTAAGTTTAAACCTTATATTAAACTTCAAAAAAGTGCCTTTCTGGATATTCGGCATGACAACAAACACTATTTTCATGTGCCCTTTCAGTAGAAGAAGATTTAACTGCATCCCCTCCACACAAGTGCATCTCATTTCCTCTAGTTACATCGCCGGGCATGTGGCATCTGTTGGAATTTTACAGCAATTTCAAAGTTTGGCTTTGTAGCATTTTAAGCACAGGGAGTGTGCAAGCCTTGTTTATGTGTGTGTGTTTGCAACCCAAACCCTCATGGTCCATAAATTTTAATATTCCTTGTGAGTGCTATACCCAAGCAAAACACAAAGTGCCTCACAAGTCCCTGCCCAGAGCGCTAGTTTAGCAGAGTTCTCCACCAAGATGCATTACACACCAGGCCCGCGCTCACAGTTCACCCTCTTCCTGCCACCGCTTTCCACATGCATCTTGCATGACTCGCTGGTGATTTCCAAACAAGCCCAATAACAGGCCGACGACGCGCGGCTCCGGCGGGGGACCTCGACTCGCTTCGCCATGTGACTGTGATATTATTCAACTGGGAGGGGGCACGGCTTTTTTTCTCTTCTGTTTTTTTCTCCTCCACAGCTCTAGCAAAACAGAGCTGGAGTACGGAGAGGGGAGGGTGGTCCTGTGTTGCGCCCCAGGCTCCTTTTTTGTGTTTACCAGTCCCTGCGTGGGACTGATGCTATTTTCAATTCCGAGGCTCAGCCATGGCTAACTGGCCCTAGCCCCTTCATGCCATTTGCCTTAATAATGTGGGCCGGACTCTCTGCGGGGAAAGTAGCCGCCATCCTGAGAGTGGCTAAATGACACAGTGGAGTTCATTGATGGAAAGGATTACACGCCTGCACGCAGGGCGGCAAGGCGACGGGTTCTCTGAAGGGCACTACAAAGAGAGGCGATGTAGAAATCTTCACAGGGGGAGAGCGCGCGGGCCTACTGTATGTCAAAGGGCGAGCGCCGGCGTAATTTGTGGCGTCACACTGTTTATCTCGTGCGGGCTGAGGAAGCGTACCGGATCTTAACATGTGGAAATTAAAGGGACACAATTAAAAAAGCTGCTGCATATTTAAACACCTGAACCAGATTTACTATGTCGCATAATTTATTTACATCTAAAGCAGCGCCGCGAGATCATTTGACACCACATTAGAACCTCATACTTGCACCGTGTATCCATTTACATTTCCTGTCGACAGCTCTGTAGGGCATTACAGCCTGTGTTATTGTAGCGCATTTGACTGTTGCAAAATTGCTTCCTCCGCTGTCCCCTAATAAGGAGAAAACAATATGACTTACCAAGTGGAGAAAAAAAAATGACCCGTGCGCGGAAGATCTGAAGGCACATCAAAATGACAACTCGGAGAAGGAAGCATAAGCTGTCTTATTATAGTCCTGAACGATACATGAATAGATGTAGCACTCTGTTTTACCTCTGCCCTCAATTAATTCGTATGAATCCAGCCACCATGTATTAAAATGGCCAGATGCTAGGATGGATTCTGTTGGGAGCAATGACATGCAACAAAGTGATATGAATCATCCCCCCACACTGTGCAGCAGCACACTCTCAGAGGGGCCGGTGACACAATTTATGGAAAAAGCAAAAACAAGACACAGCCGCTCAAGAATGGATGGACTGTCAAAATAGACTCAGTATTAGGTTTTTTTGTGAAACTATAATTTCCACTGCAGGATCAATACAAATTCTGCTGTTTAATAGATTATAATCTCAGATGAGAAATGCAAATGGGAGGCTCCGTGCTCTGAGTCAGGCCACGTTGAATATTCAAACAAAGATAATTATCTGTGGATTAGCCCCGTTCTGGCTTTGAGGACTCCGCTTGCCAGCCAGACATGTAAGAGTTGTCACATTGCTTTGTTTTAGCAGTTTAAAAAAAAAGGGGGCTCCATTTGAGGTGTATTTGCAAGGTTTTACGCTCCACCTTCTGCAGCCTCGGAGGGAGAAGTTGGGTCCATCGTATGACAACACGCCACGCATCCAATGGGTGCGAACAACTTTTCACACTCCATCCTATAGATTCAGTCCCCCTTGAGAGGTGATATCTATAAGAGCGGCTAAATGCAAGGGCGGTGTGAAAGCAGGACCCAGGGCCATTCTTGGGAGCGGGAATGATCGAGCGCTCAGTGATGTTTGTCCTCGCTGTGACTACCTCCTTCCGATGTGGGCTACTAAACACTGCCTATTTCTCATTCTGCACCGGTCCGTGACAGTCCTACCTCCCCCCCTCACTTCCATACTTACCACATTCATTATCAGCTACTGAAACAAAAAGCTGTGGCATTTCAAAGATTACCTGTACTTCAGTACGGCTGTAGAACCCCCCTCCCTTCCCTCTTTTTTTTTTTTTCTTTTGAAATGACTCCTGTATCTACACATCTCTGCCACTTGCATACATAAATATCCAGCCTCCAGCAAGAAAGTGTTTTTTTTTTTGCCAGAGAGAAAAAAAAAGAAGAAAGAATCAAAGGCCATTCAAGAAAGGAAATCATAACATTATATCTATATTTAGTTTCTGTTGTCTTAATGGGCATGAAGAGTACAATCAGATAAGCTTTCTGACTGTGACTCACATGCTGCTTCAGGAGACACAGAAATATCATTTTAGCAGAGTGTAGATCCCCTGCCAGGATTTCTTTTTTCTTCTTCTTCTTTTGGCAGGTTTGTATTCATTAGTCAAGTTGTGAAGTCTCTGTCTGACCAGTGGCGCCTTTACCAGCGTGTTTGTTGTTAAGACGGAGAGGCTGCTCGACTTCTCCCCCGTCGTCGAGCGTTTCATCTCTGCCGCAGCCACCTACCTCCCAGCTCCACGCCACTTCCATGTCGCCCCTATATTGCTGTCTATGCGGTGCTGGTCCATCTGGGCTCTGTGAGGTCACTGCACACGCCACCTGCTCCGATCGGGGTTTGGCTTCTGGGTGGCATCTCTGGGCACGCGTGGAGAGGCAGATGTATAGATTTAGTGGGACAAATGCCCTCAGATAGCCCATAAACACAACACACACACACACTCGCATAATATCTTACTGCACACGCTGGACGCACGCTGGCGCACATCATTTGTACAATTTACATTTCCAGGCCCAGAACTCCTTTTTTTTTTTATGGGTTTCTGTGCAATTTTGTGTTTAATGAGACTTACTGTATGTGGTTCACTAATTTAGGGAGACAATTGCTCCTTGCATGCTCAGGTGGACTTAATAGGCTTACAAGACTAAAAATTGGATTGGGGTTAGCATATTCCGTGGAGTGAGTTTCTTATTACAGAAATGTATTGGCAGAAGTTAACTCAGTTCTTTCCTGGAAATAATGCCCAAACAGACAAATAACCGCATGCAGCAGCGTGATTTTCTAATTGCAAAAATCATTAAAAAAAAGGCGAAGAAAATTCCAATAAGTCAGATACAGAATGTTAATCAGAGGGAGAAAGGAGCAGTTTAGCAGTGAGAGAGAGAGAGAGAGAGTTCCTCCTCTGCCTGTCAGTGTCCCCAACAGACAAAGCAGCCTGTTTGAAATGTCCACAAAGCTTTTGTTTTTATTTCACAGAGGTTGTGTTGCATATACACGTCCTGTTGACACTATATACACGGTTGATACTGCCACCTGTCCCCTTTTTTATTGCCTCTGAATGCACAAAGAAATACTTTGCAGAAGGCTGAATTACCGTCTTTGATATTCTAGACGCCAGGGAGGCATTTAGCAGTCCTGATTGGAGGTAAAGCAGGAATAGACGCTTGTCGGTACAAAAAAATAATGCAAATTTTAACTGACATGAGCAGAGTGAGAGAAAAAAACGCAAACGTGTGCGAAGTGGTGCTTATACAGACGCTCATTCATGTATTTTCTTTATTATTTGTGCGTAAAAGGATGCAGTGTGCAGCTGTTACGCGCGTCCTTGCAGTGGAATAGAGACGTTTTTTGCAGCTTTGTAAAGCCTGAACTGTCCACATTTGGTAAATTACTGACACATTCACACTTTTTTATAAAAAGTTTAACGGCTATAGAGTACAAATTTACACAAATTTAAAGAAGGAGTTTTGGAAAAAACACTGAAATCATGAGCAAATCGAAGTCCTTTAAGGTACTTTTCTGGCGAGTGTTTGAGTTTTAACAGATTTTTAAATGAATCTACGAGCAGAATGTGTTTCGTTTTTAATATACGTGATGTATATGTGGATAGATCGCGACACGGTTTTGAGATGGACATTTTTTGCAGTGCACGGAGAGGATTTTACTATGTGCGCAGCCAGACCCCGCCTGCTCACCGCGCGTCACTGGCGAGTAGTGTGGACGCGGAGTCACTCCCCTGCCTACTTTTAATAGCTTTGTCATGTGATGGAAAGCAGTTGTAAGACAGGTGCCCTCGGTTCATTCTCGGCGAGGGGCAGCAGTTGCCTGTGTGAGAGCGAGTGGGAAGCGTGTGTGGATTTCTTTTTTACTTGATTTCTTTCTTTTTTTTTTTCTTTTTTTTTTTTTTCCTTTTTTTTTTGGTAATTTTTTCGGACCGTCATTCAGTTGGCTGGATGGCGTGGGACAGGTGTAACCAGGACTCGGTGTGGAGAGAATTAGAGGTGAGCGCATCTAAAAAAAAACAAAAATCTTTCCTGTTTCTAGCCCTCTGGACCTTCTTCTTCTTCTTCTTCTTCTTTTTTTGCACCCTTTGGAACGATGGACAACACTGACTACCCGAGACAGTGATTTCCACATAAGTCTACCTCCTCCTCCTCCTCCTCCTCCTCTTCTGCCGGGCATGCCGGTGTACTAGTGCGCGTCTGGACACAGTTGAGGATGCGAGGGGATGTACAAACACGGGGATATATGACGAGCAGCAGGGAATGTGCGGAATCTCCCTTTTCCACCTCAGTTTAAAGATGTAGTTGCTGTAATGCGTGCACGGGGCTCAGGACCATTGCTTTCCTCGTAGGATCTCTGTTCAGTCGGAGCGAGTGCTTGCAAGCAGCCGGATATCTTTCCAACCGCGGACTGTACGCGCTCCCGGTGCCGAGAAGCTTTTCATGCCGAAATGACTGAAATGTCTCAAAGTCAGGTATTTTCGCTGACGCATGAAATCCACTGATAAATCCTTTTATTTTTCTCTTTTTTTTCTTTTTGATGTGCTGTGTCGGGGGGATAGCGCATGTTATTTTCCAAGAGCAAAGGTTGTCCACACTGAGGCACCGCTATCTGGCGTTGCGCAGGAGCATCATAATATTCACGGTTACCGGCCACGACTGTGTGCCAACATCCCGGCCGGAGGAGCGCTGCCCCGGCTGGAGAGCAAACATCCAGCCGGAGTCGCTGATTTCATGCTTGTGCGCGATTAATTTTTACTTTCTGAGCATTTTTTTTTCTTTCTTTAAACGTCCTCAACCAGTAATTAGCTCCCATTCGCTCCAGTCGTGCTTAATCTCACCTGGTTAAAGTGCATGCAGATAATACGCACATCAAAAGGACACTTATTCGTCCGTTTTCCTCCTAATTCACCGCGTCCGTGCAGCTTGTTATGGACGCTCAGGTCTACCTGCCTGCACAGAGGTACTTGTCTGCATTCATGAGCTCGGTGATGCCTCGGAGAGCTTCTCTCAGTATGATACGACTGCAGTCTGCCTGCTACAGCTGTGACTATGTGAGCTGCGTTAAATTCCATTTCATAAAAGTAAGGATCTGTGTTTTTGCGACCGATTTCGGGATTGTTTTCCATTCAGGCGCTCTCGTTTGCACTTTATTCCAGGTAGGACTGCGTTTCCGGACTCAATCCAACAAATGCACGCGTATTTTAGAAACTCTGCTCGATTCTCTGAACGTGTGTGCACACGTTTCGAACCGTGCTCTTTAAACAGGAGAACTGTCATTCAGGAGCCACAGTCCTTCCCCTAATAATCTCCCGAGCAGGTGCTTTTATGCGCGATGCGTGCGTAAATCACTGGAGCGCTGTGGTGCACTCTGATTGTCTGTCTGGCGGCGCTATTTCATTAGTTCACCAAGAAGTCCATAAGATAATTGAGCATAGGACGTCCAGCCTGCGAACATCCTGACAGCTCTGTTACCATTCTTTCGTGCCGTGCCTTGTCTGACTGGATCATCTCAGGGGGAAGCCTAAGACGCAGTGAGTCTGTCCCCTTCGCTGCTGCCGTTGCAACAGAACGGATTTGTCTCATCACAGTCTAAGTCATCGTGTATTCGTGTTTGGTGCGATTCCGAGGACAGATGAACTGTGACACCGGTGTCTGGGCGGTTTTTCCTACTTGGCACAGCATCCGTCTCCCAGATTTGCCCTGAGCCGAACCCGACTCTCACCCCTCCTCAGTCTGCGGGCCAAATACCTCCCAGCTTCGCCTCAGGATATCTATCTTATATCTTTCTTAAGGCCACCCTGTGGCGTTCATACATCGGCTGAGGTGTTGTCAACTAAATTAGGAGTGTGTAGCCTATTAGACAGCAGCCATAAAGCCCTCTTCTCAGGCTTGGATTTGCATTTGCACAGTCACAGACGGTAAACACGCCTCGAGTCTGGGGTGTTTTTGCCTTTTAATGACCACTGACTACAGAGCTCAAAGTTTGCCCACCTTGCAAGGAGCACACAGTCTGCCTGACTTTTGCTCATTGCAGCTGTTGGTTTCTTGCCTGTGGGGTTGCATACTGAAAATGAATATATTATCCCTAATGTCAAGTACCATGCAACATCAAGAAAAGGGTTTGCACATAATAGTAGAATATCTGCAAAAAAACAGCTGTAGGCTCCTTTTTCTAATCCGTCAAGGCACCTTTTCAGCACCAGTCAATCAACAATCTTGCAGGGGAGAACAGAGCTGATGATTTGTGTGTGGAGGAAGCAGGAACATCTGCTACATACAGTACACATTGGCTAGATTACATAAAAGTGGCTGGTGAATAACAAAATGTCAACAGGCAGCATTTAGCAGCAGGGAGGCCAGCACCAGTCGCCGTGTACACAGTGTACTGGAGGTGGAACAGAATCTAAGTGGGAACAGGTTGCAGGTTTGCATGTTGTTGCGCAAAACGAGCCTGACCTGCAGCCAGTCGCACAGCTGCTCCGTTAATAGTCAATAGAGTCAGAAAAGTAATACATTAATTATAGGTAAGTGTGTCACATGAGAGTGTTCAGTGAGATGAGAAGCTTCGGCTCCAGTGACTGTTTGTATGTTACACAAATGTGCGAATTTCCTTTGTTCAGGACTCAGCTGCAGGTTTAAGAAGACTTTTGACTCGTGTCCAGATTTCCAGGCCCCCATTGTTTTCCAGCTTGGCTCAGATACTTCACTGTCTGATTTGCATTTGAAAGAGATGTGATTTCTGTCTGACCATCCTTGTTGTTTTCGTTCCCCTCCAGTGTGCTGCCTTGGTTGGTGAAGACCAGCCCCTCTGCCCAGACCTCCCCGAACTTGACCTCTCAGAGCTGGATGTCAGTGACTTAGATGCAGACAGCTTCCTGGGTGGCCTCAAATGGTACAGTGACCAATCAGAGATCATTTCCACTCAGTATGGGAATGAAGCATCCAATCTCTTTGAGGTAAGTGCAGTCATGTTTAAAACTAATACCCTCATCAACATGTTTTTTTTCTCTCTCTCTGTGCATTATGATGCTGTACAACACCGTGTTTCATTCTATGCTCTCCAAAGGGGTCAGGAGCGAGTTGGAATATTAACATGCCAGAGCAAACACGGCACATTATCGCATTCTTGAACGCGAGCCAAACAAAATGTACGACTGTTACCAGTTTACAAACATGCTTTTACGTTGCTCCGAAGTACAAAAGAGGAGATAACGTGAAGTGCGATAAGCCCGGGAGGACCTTTGTCCCCTCGCTTGGATCCTGGCCGCGACGGTAGGCCGCCTTATCAAAACTTTGAGCATTTATTTCAGGCCAGAGTCGGTAAACGCGGCACACATCTGACGGAACGCGTCGGTAGTAAACTCTTGACATGACAGCTGTATTGCAAAATCTCAAAGGTTGGAGTGTAAAACTTTAATCTTTTCCCCGTCCTCCCTCCTTGTTCTTCCTCTCTCTCTCTCTCTTTCTCCCCCCTTTCCTTCCATCTGACTCTCTGTTTCTGTTCTCACCCGGTGACAAACGAAGTCCACAGAGGGTGATGATCTGGCCGGGGCCATAAAGCCATCGGTCTTGGGGCTGAGTTCCAGTCCCCAGTTCATTATAAGCCTTTATCAGTGCCAGAGATAGACAAGAAAGACTGAGATTGGATGCTTTAGCCTCGCCTCAGGAGGAAAAACCCTGTCTGAGAAGGCAGTGCATGTGTGTGCCCGTGGCCCTGTCATGTAGTCACATTTCCAGGGTCTCTGTTGTGTGTCTTGTGTATCTGTGTGTGTGTGTGTGTGTGTGCGTCCTCAGTGGCAACAGTTGATAACAGACTAAATTCTTTCCACGTTTGACCTCCTCCCTACCACCACCACCTTTTCAGTCTCTTTATATCGCCACACATTCTACCTCTGTGGACCACCCCAACACACACACACACACACACACACACACACACACACACATAAGGAGGGGGGCCTTAAGTACTAGCTGGTGTGACTGTGGCTCCTCTGTCGTCTGAGAGTGATATGGCTTGCAGCCGCCGAGTGGCTCTGGGGATGGATAAAAATACCAATGAGAGCGTATGCACGTGCTCGTATGTGTGCATGTGTGTCATTTTAAAACACAATGGAACTTAGCGCCCACTGAGGACCCTGACGAGGGAACCGGCTCTGAGCAAGAAGCTGTGACTTCCAACGTGGGATACAGCTTGTGTTTGTGTGGCAGCGTGCGCACATGCATCCCGCACACCACAGCACGTGTTTGCCGCCACGCAAATACTGTACATATCAGTGAGCGGGTGATGTTTTCACACACCCGACAAGCCAGCAGCTATTGTGTTATGCTGAGGATATGGAAAGGCTTCTAATTAAGCAGTGAAAACTAGAGGTTTCAAAGCGAGTAATGCATTTCCCTGACCAAGGTTTTTTTTTTTTTCTTTCCATCTTTGGAAAGTTTCTAGTCACCATATGAAGTTCTCAGTTCATCATACGGCAGGACCCAGCTAATCCTACTTAATCTGACAGAGGAAAGTTTGCTGCTCGGCAAGGATCAGAAGGCTGGGGCTGCAGCTGTACTTCCTGCGCCCCCCTGATTGGCCTCCACACAGAACAGAGACGCATCCAATCAAAAGTTGAAGATTAGAGAACGTGTTAATAACTGGCCAGATTTAAAAGCCTGTGAGTGTATTCTTTTTCCTTTTTTCTTTTTTTTTTTTTGGCATTTCCCCCGTCCTCTCTTTGCATCCACTTAACAAACCAGAGTTCAAAGAAAAATCAGGTAGCAGATTATGAAGGCTGTCCTGAGCAGCACATGCAGCAGCTGGGTGCAGCTGTCACGCTGAGGCCGCTCTTTTTAATGTCCCCACGAAGCGATTTGCTCTCTGGAAGTTTGAACCTGCGTTCATTAGTTAAGCAAGTCGACTGTTGAAATGATTTGCAGCTTTGACAGAAAGACAAACACCTACAGTCTCAGTGTACTGGGACCTTTATTCAGGCTCCATGTGACACGGTAGCAAATGAGTAAACAAGGTTGGACTCGGTTATACAGTGCAGCTGAAACGCTGCCGTCACTTCACAGACAGTCTTATTTGATCATTAAGGGGACAACGGAAATTGTTTACACCTTGTGTAAGCAGTTTAAGTGTGTGTGTACGAGTGTTTATCATTCTGTTTCTAAGTGTGCGTTCTGTTCTGTAACCAGCATACAGTCTTAAGATCACAAGCTGTCCCCTGGCTGGCCTTTTGCTCCATTCCCTGCCACTGTCCCCACTGTCCCTGACATAAAATGTCCAGAATGATACACCACACCCCCCTCTCTTGTAGCGAACACACACACACACACATGCACACATAACAGCTATCGCTCCCGGCACAGCATGTTTGACACCTCTTCAAAACGGGCCGACCGTGAAAGTCCACGGTCTATTTTGGGCTGCAGTTGTTAAGGGGTAGTTACTCCAATAAGTTCCCAATGTACTGCCAAAGATAACAGCATACAAGTGGGACCCAATATCTTTTTAACCGCAGGTCTCCGCTCAGATTTCATGCCGAGCTTCAGCCATTGTTGCATATGCGTCTCGTTTGGTTTCTGGCTCGTTGGGATTCCAGTGTGGACGTCCCGGCGGCGGTCACATGGGGATGCGACCCGGTTACACGGCACGTATGCAGATGAAGGCATTTACAGCTGTTGAAGGCTGCGAGTCGGTCATTATGAAAGAAAATTGGCAGCGAGTTCTCCTTTTTGACATGTTTTTGCTGCTATAGCTGTCCTGTTGTGAGATACGCTGATGATAGATGGACAGGCGGGACGGGGAGACAAGGGCAGATAGAGAAAAGTGAAACAAAGGCAGGTGCGGAGACAGAAAAGGCCAGCGAATGACAAGACGGACAGACAGACGGAGGCGCGGAGACAGATGGGCAGTGAAATAGATAAACATATAGTCCAGGAGAAGCTTGGACTTGTGCCAGCGTGAGCCAAAGCCGGTGGATTGGAAGTAAAAGGTTGTGGGCTTAGTAGGTAGTAAAATAAGATGCCAAGGCTTAAAGCATTACTCTGATATGGTATAGGACATACTGTGAGGGTGTGCACGTGAGCGCACATATGTGGGCTCACGCGTGTCACTTATGAAAACTCTCTTATCGCTCCAACAGGATGCGGTTTGCGATGGCATCAGTCTTCAAAAGGCATTATGGCGCTTTGTCTTGCTTGTTTGTGCCTTATTGGACAGATGCTCCGGCGCTTATTCTTAAGCAAAGGCAGATTAGATTGATTGGGTCATCTTTAGCAGGCTTTGATAAAAACATGCTGCGATGAAACGTCTCCCTCAAAGCCTTCGCCGCGAATACGTCTAAGCATAGATTAGCTCAAACACTTGTTGGCGATACGGCTGCTGCGAGCCGAAACAGCAGCGAGCACAAAGTCACAGACCCTCTGAGAGGAATCGTCGTGCCCACACACACACTACAACACACACACACATGCACACGCACACACATACAGACAGCAGAGACCCTTATTGTCCCTGTTCCTACTCCCTGCTGAATGCCGGTTGCGTTTATTTTGCAAATTTATGCTGACATTTGAGAGTACACCACCCGCACCAGTTCACTGCTCCAGCAAAGGGTGTATGAATTATCATATTCCACTGTATAATATGATTTTCTCAAGTGAGTCTTATTAGAATACACCATACTTCCCTTATCTCGAGCTCCCTTCAGTTTTACTGTGCTGATACATTGTTTGCACTGTCTGATAGAAGAAATCCTCCATCACTGTCGAGCTGAAGGCAAAAACCGCGCTTCCAGACCCGCGGCTATGCTGTTTCAAGATACACAAATGAGAGGGAGCGCAGACAAATAGGCGCAGATGTATAGTAGAGAGATGCAGACATGGGCTGTCCAAGCCCTGTGTCATCTTGGAGCGTCTGTCAGATCCACTCCACAACAAGAGCTCTCAACCCCGCTGCCCCGCAACACTGTGGGCTCCCTTCCTCCTTCTCCCTCCTTCCTCTCTCTGTCTTTTTCGCTCCCAAGGCAAAGCATTTGTTCCTGGCTGATGGGAAGTCTGAGCAACAGCGGCTAAACAAATATATTCTGGCCTCCAACAGTCGCTTCTGGAAAGAAAGGCTGGAAGGAAGAGGGGAGAGCGAGGGAGGGGGAGGGAAAAAAAAAAATAAAAGGATAGTAAGCAGAGGAGTGGATATGGCCCAAAAAAAGAAGGAAAAAAAAAAAAAGTCCCCTCAGGGAATGTTTGGAAAAAGAGCAAGGGAACATCTTTTTGGTCTGGTGGTGGCTGCTGCTTGGCTGCCGGTTTAGCTCTCTCACACACACTCATCGCCTGTTCCCAGTGGGCCACTGCTGCTGATTGAGGCATGGTTTGGTGTTCCTGCCCCAGCTGATCCCATGTGTGCCCCCAGTGGATACCCATCACACTGGAGCCGCCGGCCGGTGTGTACGTGCGAGTGTGTGTCTTTGTGTAATTGAGACACCACCATACACAGATCAGATCTTTTTTTTCTTTTTTTTTTCTGGCCAGACACAACACTTTCATCGCTGTCTGTTTTTTGTGTGTTTCTTCTGTGTGTGTTGGGTGGGAATGACTATTTTTAGTACCTGGGGTAATCTCCACTAAGAGCCTTTCAGGGCTGTTTCACTTTAACCTGGCCAAAACACTAAGCCAATAATCCCACCCCCTACCCCCTCTCCACCCCCAGCCCGACTCATACTCTCACACACAGCAACATGTTGCAGCGATGCCATGCGATAAGACCAACCTTCCTTGTATTATTTAATAGTGTACGCTTTAGAGTGGGAGGGAAGGTATAAAACCGAGGATTCCTAGAATGCTTTTATACTCTCCTCTTAATGCAATGAAAGGAGGCAGAGACTGCGGGACGGTGTAAGCAGCCAGATGAAATGAACTGATCAGAGAGCGACAAGGCGAGGTGCACAAAAGCAAGCAATAGCCGGTCGTG